ACACACACAATAAATAAATGTAATAAATAAGAATAAATAAATATTTAAAAAAAAATTACTCATATATCCTCAAAGTCTACAACTGTCTCTTTGATGTATTTATATTCATCTGTATATTAGTTTGCTACTGTCTTAAAAGATAGAGTGTTGGTTCATTTGTTTTTTTGGTTTTTTTTTTAAATTCTGTACAACAGATCTGAAAAACAAAAATGTGGTGTGTTTCTGGGCAACCAAAAAAAGTTTTGATATAAGAAAATGTTTAAAATCTTGAATTACATAATTTGTGTCATTAAGTACTTATAAAATTATGTAAACTCAGTCATGTGTTTCCCAAATAAAGGCAAGACATTCAGGGACTGAATTATTACCCATAGCTTGAGATTACAGGTGTTTAGATAGATTTTGAGACAGTTACTTCAGTATGCTAGCTATGTATGTATGTACATACGTACGTACGTATGTATGTATGTATGTATGTATGTATTGACTTACTTGTTTGGTACTGGGAATTGAATTCAGGTCCACACGCTTGCCAGGCAGGCACTGCGCCCACTGAGCTATATGCCCAGCCCCAAACATGCTGTTTATGAGAGTACAGTGACTTCAATTTTTGAATTTTTCTATTAAAATAATTTTTCTGGCCATGCATGGTGGCACACCCCTATAGTCCCAGCGTTCTGGCAGGAAGATCAGGGAGAGTCCAGGGCTAGCCTAGACTACATCAGTAGCAGGACAGTGAAACAATTTTCCTGTGATTACTGAAAATGTACTATTACCCAACTCAATAGGAAACATTGTATTGGCCTGTTTGTACCTTTCCTCCCTTCTTTTCCTTTTTTCTCGTACTTGAATGGGTCAGGCATCTTCTTTGAAAAGGGCTATGTAGGGCTGGGGAGGTAGTCTAGGCACCTGCCTAGCAAGCGCGAGATCCTCAGTTCGATCTCTGGTACCGCATTTGGTGCTGGCCCCAAAACCCAAGCACTGGGGAGGCTTAGACAGGAAGATCACTACAAATCCGAGCTGGGTAGTGAGACCTTGTACCAAATAAATACATAAATGAAAATGTAAAAACAAAAGAGCTATGTAACACTTAAAGAAATAACAAGTTAATCTAATTTTATTAAATCAAAATGAACCTTTTAAATATATCGCTGCATGATTGAAAACGTTCTGGTTGATTGATTCAGGAATGTACAGAGGCCAGCTGTACCTGCAGTCATCTGTCAGAATTTCAGAGAAGTTCCCCACAAGCCCCAAGGCTTTGGAGTCGAGTGAAAACGCGATTATTCCTTTGCCAACCATCAAGTGGAAGCCCTTAATTCGTAAGTGAATTGGAGACTTTATAAATACTATTGAAATGCTTAGAAACCTTATTCTGTGTTTACCCTAGTTTTCAATATTGCAGAGATAAAAATTGCCATATTCTTTATATCTTACCAATAACTTGGGAAGGTGTTTCAGATGTTAATAAATTTTAATTCAATATTTAGAGCATTAAAAAATATTTAGAGCATTCATTCTTAGAAAAGGCAGATGCTTCATAGAAATGTTAATAAACTATTTCTCTATGCAACTTAGAAAAACTCTTGACATTCACTGATAATAGCAAAGTAATATTTAGCTCATAACATATGTAAGAATATCTTGGTAAAAGCAGCTAGCTGGCTGTTCCATACTTGCCACATGCAACCTCCTTCCTTAAATAGCTTTGTAGAGCTTGCTTCTAGCTGGTTCTTCCTGCACATGTCACGTCACATATTAGTTACTTAGGACTATGAACTTCGCACCAGCAGGAGCCTTGGGCCATTGGTTTGGCTTATGTCACTGCGTTGAGCTGTGGCTAGACCCCGGTTTGTTCAGCAAATGAACACATGCATTTCTATTAAGTGATAACAGTTATTGTTTTACCATTTTCTTTTAGATTCTCCTTCCAGAACTCCAGTCTTGGTAGGGTCTGATGAATTTGACAAATGTCTTAGTAACGATAAATTTTCTCATGAAGAATACAGTAATGGCGCACTTTCGATCTTACAGTACCCATATGGTGAGTGGGGTCACTCCTGGATTGAATATGCTGAGTTCTGAGCCAGGCTGTCCCAGCACTAGGGAGGCTGAGACAGGAAGATTGTGAGTTCAAGGCTAGCCCAGACTACACAGTGAGACCCTGTCTCAAAGAGAAAAATACAGTTTTATCTATTTTATCAAGTTATTTAAATTTAATTAACAGCATTTAAATGAAAGGAAATTCATCAGAACAAAGAGAAACATTTCGCGAGGCAGTGTTTGGAGGGCAGGCTCGCCGCAGCTGCCCCACAGTCTGATTGCCCGAGTTCGGATCCCAGTTCTGCCCATACTAAGTTGAGTGCCCTGACCTCCATGTGAGCTCCTCTCTGTAACACAAGGGTGGTCTGCTGCACCTACTCACTGCGCTCATATGAGGGTTGAGGAGCGCACGTGACGTCCTGTGGCTAGCGCTGCGCCTCGCACACCCCGTCAGCAAACACTAGCTCTTGCTGTGAGCTCATGCCCAGAATCACCCACTGGCGTGGATGATAATAACCTGCATAATGACAACAGTCACTGTTGTACTTAAAGCTACATGGAAAGTGTTGGAAAATCATCATAATTTCATCCTTAGGAAAAAAAAAAAATCAGTGTAAAGTCAAGAATAACTGGAATTTAACATGAAATATATACATTTTTAATGTATGGTGTTTTTTTTTTAATTTATTTTATTTTATTTATTTTGCATTTAGTGTGTGTGTGTGTGGCCAGCTCAGCCCACCAGGGGGTGCTGGAGGATTGAACCGCGGTCCCTGTGCTTTGCCAAGCTTGTTCCAAGTAGGTGCTTTAGACCACTGAGCCATCTCTCCAGCCCCTAATGTATGTTTTTTAAAGGGATATATTTACATGTGAAAATCTGTTGAATATTTGAATATTTAAAAAGTCTTTAGGGCTGGAGAGTTGGCTCAGTGGAATAAGTGCTTCTCTGGCGAGTGCAACGGCCTGAGTTCAATCCCCAGTTCCGCCAAAAAAAAAGTCTTTAGATCCACACCAGTTACCAAGATGCTAGTGTTGGGAAATTATTATTAACCTAAATAAATTAAAAATACACAGCACACACAGAAGGTGGTGGACTGGAAGTAGGCCTACTCGGCAGTTGACCAAAAGCCAGGGGGAGAGGGAACTGTGTAGTCTGCCCATGTGTGGGACAAAACAGAAGGCGGAAAAGGCTGGCTTTGGGTCGGCAAGAGAGCTCAGTGACTAAGCACCTGCAGGGACCCAGCTTTGGCCCTGGCACCACCTGCTGCGCTGGCCTCACCCCGGGCGCGCTGAGCCTGCCACCGAGACCCAGTATGGTGGCACATGCCTGTAATCCACCACTGTGGAGGCTGAAGACAGGAGGATCACTATGAGTCCAAGCTGCATAGTGAGAACCTGTACCAAATACATAAATTTGAAAAAAAAGAAAAGGATGACTTTTAAACAAATTTATTGTGACTGCCTAAAATGTACTCAAGAGTACAGTGAGGATGTTTTCCTGCATCTCTAAAGAATAATTCATGGCCTGGGTATAGTGACATTGCATTTGGAGGACTGAGGCAGGAGGACTGCTGTGAGTTCAAGGCCAGCCTGGACTAAATAGTGAGACCCTGTCTCAGAAAAACCAAACATATAAAATTTTTTTTTTAAAGATTGAATAAATTATTAATGAAGGAATGCATGAGATGCCTTTAATTTTTTCTAGTTTTATTATCGAATACTTTGTATAGAGAAAATTTAAGATGTTTATGTTAGGAAAATGTGTATAAGAAAAGGCAAGAAAAGTGTTTGAAATGCATTAAAGGAGAAAAAGAAAAAATTGTTGTAAATCCTGGGAAAATAGCTAATTTTAACAGTTGAAGGTAGGCCTCTTTTGGCTTATCGTAAAACCCAAGTCTTTTTCATGTTTGTTTTGAAGATAACGGTTATTACCTGCCATACTACAAGAGGGAACGGAACAAGCGAAGCACGCAGATCACAGTCAGATTCTTTGACAGCCCGGGTTACAACAAGAATATCCGCAAAAAGGACCCTGTTCTTCTCCTGCACTGGTGGAAAGAAATCGTCGGAACCATCCTGTTCTGTATCGTAGCGACGACGTTCATCGTGCGCAGACTCTTCCGGCCTCAGCCTCACAGAGTAAGACGGTTTTCAGAGTCTGATGTTTTTCCAAATGCTGGAGGTGTAGAGGAGCCGTCATGTGGTGAGGGGTGGGTAAGTGGGAGATTTAAATTGTACCCTAAAATCATTGTACTTGAACATTCTTGCGTTGCCCAGTGGTGGGGCCGCGTGGTGAGCGGTGGTCACTGAGCAATTTCAGAACTCTGCAGAGGTCGTGGAAGGTGCTGCCTAGACCGTGGTGGCCTAGTGTCCTGCAGCCGAGGCCATGTGGGGCAGCTTTGGCACCTGCCCCCCAGTTTGTCCAACATGTCCCTGTAGGCACTTGCAACACAATAGTATTTGTGTATCTAAACATAGAAAAGCACAGCAAGACTCCCAGACTCTAGGTCCTTTCTTGCTGCTGTAATCTTAGGAGCCCACTCGGGTGTGTGGGCTGCTGACGACAGACATCATTCTGTGAGGGTGATGCTCTCCGCTTGCCACCTCCTTACCTCCTGTCCCTCCCAGCCATTGCTGCTGGTGGTGTCAGTCCCCCCACTCTGCTGGAGCTGCTCCTGCCTCTGTACAGGACGTCACAGACACCTGCTTCTGGCTCAGGGAACCTCTGGGGTGAGCCTGGTGGGCACCTCTCTCAGACCTTTCCTACCTGTCTGTCCAACCCTCTGCTCTGCTGGTCTCCTTGAGCAACATGTGGACCTCAGGCCCTCATCCTCCTTGGCTCCCTGGGTCACGGTGGAAGGCCCCAGGGCTCACTGTTCCCAACAGTCTCCCCTACTCACCCAGCTTTGGCCATCCAAGTGGCTTTCCATGTCTTTATCCCACACCAGCTGTCTGGTAGCGGCTGTGTCCACTCCGGAGGGACCCTGACATTGCTCCCCTCCACGCTCCCATCCCCAGCGTGTTCTTGTGGGTTTTTCTCCCTTGCTGAAAGGCATTGCCAGACTCGGTCACCGGAGCCTGGAGAGCTCATCTCCTCTCCAGCTGGCCCTTGCGTCCGGTTCCCTGAGCCGTGTCCTCCTCCTGTTCCAGTTTCCATTTCCCAGCACAAGTGCATCATCTCTCTCCCAAGTTAACTAAAATCGCTTCCAGCTGTCCTGGTTTGTGCCTAACTGTAGTGGGGTTTCCTTGCTAACAACCAGCTCGCTCACTCTGTCTGTCTGTCTTCTTGTCAGGGCAGTCCTCCTCCAAACCTGCGTGGCTCTGAGTGGGTTGTGCCCCTCTCACTACTCGTGCTTCGCTTGTCCCTGTCGCTCCCTCCCCTCTTGCTGGTGCTCAGCCTCCATGCACACAGTCGCCCACCCCTCATGCAGATCATACCTTCTCTTTTTTTCTTTGATGGTTTTTGTTTTTGTTTTTGTTTTTGGTGGCCAGCTCAGCCCATGGGGGCGGGACATGGTGTGTGGTGCCTGGGATAAACCGCAATCCCTGAGCACTTGCCTAAGCAGGCACTTTAGACCCCACTGAGCTATCTTGCCAGCCCTTCTTTGATGTTACCAGACAGGGTCTTATTAGTAGTCCAGGCTGGCCTCGAACTCATGGCAATCCTGCTCTGCCTCCTGAGTTCTGAGCTTACAGGCAAGTGCCACCACGTCAGGTTAGCTCATGCTTTCCTCTTGCAGGGTCTCCCTGTGCAGCTTGGACTTGTCCTGTTTCAGCCTCCCCAGCGCTGGGATTTCAGGCCTGTGCCACCTCTCTTGGACTCAGTGACCCACTCAGCGTGCCCGGGGGTCGGGCCAGCGCAGCATGTGGGAAAGGGGATTGAACCCCAGTCCCTGTGCTTGCCTAGGCAGGTGCTTAGTGTGCTGAGCTATCTGGCCAGCCCGTCACACTCCCCTTAAGGAGGCTGGAGGCGCTCATTCCCAATTTTGCCCCTGAACTTTGTTTCCCACCTCCTCTCCCTTCGTTCTCACACGAGTAAGTCCTGCATGTCTTAAGTTTGAAGTTGGCCATCATGTGTCCTCTGGGACATGCCTAACCCCTCTACCTTAGAGCTCCCCGCCCTCCCCTACTCATGTGGCGGGCAGGACGCGGACTTCTCACCCCACCTCTGCACTGCACACTTCTAAGGACGGGGGCTGGTGTGTGGGTGCCTCCGTCTCTCCCGTTCTAACACAGTGCCTGGCGCATAGTCAGAGCCACTAGAGATTGTTGAAGGAATCGGTGACTAAATACATGAACCACAGTACTGTCTTGGACCGCAGTAATGTTAGCATCCTCTGGGAAACCCTTTGAAGATACTGGTGACGAGGTACTGCCAGACCCAGTTCCCTATTATCAGAAACATTTCCAGAGCATCTGCAGAATGTCTGGGGAAGAAGTTTCTCTAGTTTTGCCTGGAATTTTGAATTCATACTTACACACACAGGCTTTCCCTCTCTAGCTAAACATGTATCATACTTCGTCTACAGACAAAACATACCTGTACAGCAGAGAGAGAATTCTCCCTAAGGTTAAAGGAGTAGCGGTGGGAAGATACACTTCTTGTGATGTATAATAAAGCAGAATGTTTCTGTGTGGTTCTGTCATGCTTTCATTTTTTCATAACACTTTTATTTTTCAATTCTGTGTTACAATCAAAGATTGTTAGCTAATTTTAATTCAGTGTTGTCCTGGTAGTGATTCTCTTCTCTGCTTTATCAGCAAAGGAAGGAATCTGAAACTCAGTGTCAAACTGAACATAAATATGATTCTGTAAGTGGTGAAGCCAGTGACCGTAGCTGGAATGACACGAAGAACTCTGGATATGTGTCACGGTAAGTGTCCTGTGAAGTAGTGCAGCTTCTGTTTGCATTT